GGGGGGGGTCACCCTGCATATGGAGGAGTGGGAAATCAAACCCAGGTCTCCAGATCAGAGTCTTCACTTTTAGCCACGCTGGCTCTCAAGGTCAATTAAAACACTTTCTACCTTGTTTTTTCAACAGAAAAATGGGGAATCACAGTATCAAAAATCTACATTTTGTGCTTCATGTGATTCAGTTTGGTGTAGTGGTTAAGAGTGGCAGGCTAATTTGGAGAACCAGGTTTGATCCCCCCACTCCTCCAAATGCAGCCAGCTGGGTGATTTTGGGTCAGTCACAGTTCTTTCAGAGCAGTTCTCTCAGAGCTCTCTCAGCCCCACCTACTTCACAGGGTGTCTATTGTGGGGAGAGGAAGAGAAGGTGATTGTAAGCCACTCTGGGATTCCGAGTGAAGGGTGGGGTATAAATCCAACTTTTCTTCTTCTTCTTCTCCTTCAGTTGACAGGACTGCTAAAGCATTCAGTTGATCTTGGGACATTTGTGCCCTAAGATAGTTCTTAATTAATTTCAGCTTGCTGAAGCTCCTTTCAGCTGATGAAATTGAAACAGGAATTGTCAGCAACAATACAGCCACAGCTGTATCTGGGAATGTGGGGCTCAGTGAACAAGATATGATGTAGCACAAAGTCTCTACAAGAAATCATTCTACAAAGAAGGTTAAGCAATAATCCATTTTTTGTTTAAAACCAGATATCCCCTTCCTAGATTTACACATGATGAGCAGACTCTTGTAAATACACGAAGATCCCCCCCACCCACCCACCCATATTATTTGTCCTCCTTCCACTTTCCTGGGTTGCAGTGTGCCAAGTGGAAATCCCCACGCACATGCCAAGTGTATCACCATAAAAATGTCTGTTTCTTCCTCTGAGCCTGAAATGAGGCTGTGATCACAGAACTCACAGAAGAGTGTGCATTTTCTTGTGTGGATGGCCCCCCTTGATTCATACCACCATCTACTATTGAACTCAACACACACACACACACCCATCCCTGGAACACACTAGGGTTGCCAACCTCCAGGAAGGGCCTGGAGGTCTTCCAGAATTACAACTGATCTCCAGACTACATAAATGAGTTCTTTTAGAGTAAATGGCTACGTCATTCTACTCAAATAATATTCCCTCTCCCACCTTCCCCAGGCTCCATCCCCCAAATCTCCAGGAATTTCCCAGCATGGAGTTGGGACCCCTAGCCAGCATGTGTGCAAACATACTTCCTTTGCAGCTACAGCCTCCCTGCCATGCAGAGGAAGGGTGGCCTTTTCGCTTCACACAGGTGGGAAGGGAA